TCCTGGTCTGGTTTTGTTTCTCCCAAGAGCCACCAATAAAAGCTGTGTCACAGTGTCACAGCCCACTCCCAGGAAGGGAATGCTGTCAGGCAGCAGGGCTGGGAAAACGGGAGGCAGGAATTCTTGGATCCATCCCAAAAATCTCCCGCCACATTCCCCGAGTTTGCCCAAACCCGTGGGGTGCGATGCGCTCGGAACGGCTCCTCGGGGACAGGAAGATGCTGCTGATAAAAGGTGTCTCCCTGGACCGCTGAGAGGAAATTAATTAACATTTGGAAAAGCACTTTGAGATTCTTGGATGAAAGATGCTGGAGCTGGAATGCTGGCAACATTCAAATAAGTTGGAATAACGTTAATATTTATGGCGCGCGGCGCTTTCATCTTCAAAGCTCTTTACCAACATCAATGAGTTAACAAAGAAAATATTAATAAAGATTATATTTACCCATTAAATTACCCTCCCAAAGCACGGGTAAATAGAGCTGCCTCCAGATATAAAATAGGATTTTAAAAAAAGCTGAGCCCCAGCTCCAGTGTCAGGCACTAAATCCCTGGTGGGGCTGGCCATGGAACACCAACTTGGAACAAGGAATTCTTAGTTTATATTCTGAATGAGGAACTATTAGTTTATATTTTTAATGAGGAATTATTAGTGTAATAATTTTAACTTTCAATGAGATTGACTGGACCCTAGGCCTAATCCACCACAGCCAGGGTGAAAAATCAGGATGGCAAAGGGAGAAGGAAGAGCAGGGCTTGGAAAAGGGCTCTGGTTGGTGAGCAGGAATTCCAGAATCCCTGAGGCTGGAAAAGCCCTCCAAGGTCACCAAGTCCCAAAAATTACCCTCCAAAATTACCCTCCAGTTAAAAATAATATTAAAAGAAAATCTGACCCCCCACTCCAGTATCAGGCACTAAATCCCTGGTGGGGCTGTCCATGGCAAACCAACTTGGAGCGAGGAATTATTAGTTTACATTTTGAGCAAAGAATTATTAGTTTATATTTTTAATGAGGAATTATTATTTTATACTTTTAATGAGGCTAATTGAACCCTAGGCCTAATCCAGCTGTTCTGGGAATGCATCACCCACAGCCAGGGTGGAAAATCAGGATGGCAAAGGG